GCCAAAGGCCAAATGTCTCTGCTTAAGCGGTAAGAAGCTAACAATAGCCTAGGTAACGCCTAGCTTAATGTGTAAAGCATGGAAACCAGCACGACTCTCAACATTCAATTGAAGTGTGACATACACTCTACCATGATGACACCACCCCATTTTTCGTATTGAAAGGAGTCACTTCTCGTCTACCAAAACTCCCCTACCATGCACTCTAAGATAAAATAGAACACCCTTGTCAAAATTTTGTTGAATTCAAACACTAGACTAACTTGGCATTCAAAGTTGAATTAATGAGAAATGATCTACTAAACACCCTTATTTAGTGTATGCAGCAATAGTGTCATGATGTATCAATTAATTGATACATCATTTAGGCCTTGTTTAGGTCCTATTTCTTCTTCTTCTTCTTCTTTTTCTTTTTTTCTTTTTTGGGAAAAAATAGGTTTTGGAATGGTAATTTTCTGGATTATGTGGTTAAAAAATGGGAAAAAAATTTGAATTTACGTGTAAAATTATTTTATGGAGAATGTGTGGTTGAAAATGAGTTTTGAGAATAATGAAGCTCAAACATAGGCTTAATTCTTAGGACTTACCATGAAATTATTCTCTAATTAATTAGAATAAGTCTGCACGTACAGGGAAATTCAACATGTCTTTACACAGAAAGAGTTGTCTTCCTGTTCAAAAATCTGTTGAATTTTCTTTTACTCGTAACATTTTTTCAATTAATTAATGTGTTATGTCACTATTGCTTATCATTAGCTAAGCAACGGTACTAGATAGATCATTTACCGTTGTTATTGATTACCCGTTTGCCTCCAATAGGTAGCCTACTTGTCATTCTTATTTTAAATATTTGTCGTTGATATCACATAAGTAGATTTCAATTTCAATAGATTTTGTAACGTGGATAGAAGATTGATCCATTTTAACTACTCCATCATTGTTATATCATTAATTTATGGGACTCAACTATAGCTCATTGACTAGCAATATATCACTTCCTTAGTTAATCAATAATCGTTAATATAGAGTTGATATCCAGTCACTGTGGACATGGCAAGAGACCCTTAGTTATGGTTCTCTGAAATTAATCAATAATCGTTAATATAGAATTGATATCCTTTTTCAGTGGATAGGATAAAAACTTTTCAGTGTTGTCATCGCAAGAGAACCTTAGTTATGATTCTTTGAATTTATGACCGTTTCGGAGAACCATAACTAAGGCTCTCTTGTCAAGTTAAAAGTGAGAAATTTCTTTTCTGCTCATTGAGAGCAAGAGATTTGGACTAATCTTTAATAATAGCATTTTTCTTTATAAAAAAAAAAAGTAAGTTAGAAAGCAAGATTTATTTATTGGCCTCCTCAGGGTTCTTTCAGTTCTATTCTCCACCGAAAACTCATTAGTAATTATTTATAATAACTAATATTTGTGTTCGTAGAAGGNGGAGGGATTATATTTTTCTATAGTAAATCAATTCTCATTTTCAACCACACATTTTTCAATAAAATAATATTTTCCATCACATCAATAATTTTTTCTTCTTTTTCAACCACACATTTCCCATCATATCACTATTTAAAATCAATTTTTCCCCCAAAAATCTCTCCCAAACAAGCTCTTATATTATTTGATGGATTATTTTATTACTAATCCATCAATATATTAACCTTTTTTTTTTTTTTGTGAAAACGAAAAATAAAAAGAAACATTGGAATTGTTTTCGAGCCTCATTTTGAGAAGAGAAAGGAGGGAAGGGTGAAATCTTTTATCTCCTTTAAAGTAAAAAGAATTATTATAATTACAAATTAATAAAATATATACTATCGTTAGGTGTCTGGAGATTTTTAACTGCATATTTAACTCGTGACACGATTTAACTTGAATTTATAATTACGTTTATCCATCTTTAATAAAGAAAAGAAATTATTACTGATCAAAGAATGAAACATTGTTACTAGTCACACAACAGTGACTCAATCAGTTTATGCTTTAGTCTAGTCAATAGCTACAATATATGTGTAAGGGGACCAGAATTCTATTTGGTCCAACCCGAAAAGCTCACAATGTAACATATGTGGTGAAGCTAAAATTATGAGAAAATTTGGAGATTTGTGGTGGTAGCAAAAGGTTTCATTGTATGATCATTTGAAGTAATCGTACCTCTTGTACTCATATTAGATATAGCGAATTTCTTCTTTTCTATCTGTGGTTTTTTCCAGTCTTAAATTTTCAAGTAAATATTGTGTTCTTGTTCTTATTTTATATATTGCCTATTCTTGATTTTCGTAACAATACATAGGGTCTAACACTAGGCTTCCAAAACCCAAGCATAGAGAGATAGCACAACAATGGAACTCGATGAACTCACCTAAGAATAATATGAAAGGAAATGCTATTTGTACATCGAGATTGACACCCTAGTGTACAGCCCCCTAAAAAGAGGAGAGCCCACGACCAATAAAAAAATCGTAAGCCTCCATCTTGTGAGGAGAGCTGTATATCGGGACGTCAACCCTAGTGTATAAGTAGCATAACTCTAATATCAAACAATTTTTGTCCAAGCCAAAATTTTCTTACCTTCTGCACTTCAGATAGCCCTTTTTGTGTGCCTGCCACAATTGAAGAATTTAAACTTTCTTTGAAATTTTGATCTAAACTTGCCTTTGCTCACTAACCCTGTCTATTGAGTTCTACCTCTCACAATGAGACTTCTATAATCTGCATAATTGTTCTAGACTTGCTTATTTAAACCTTGATGGTTGAAGGATATGCCCTCCATTGCCTAAAATAAACCTATTTTTTGCCTGGACCAGGGGCGGACTCATTAAGGGCCTAGTGGGGGCAATTGCCCCCATTGGGCTCTCAATTTTTTTCTGGAAAAAAAAAATCCGGATTGGGCCTTAATTTTTTTTTTCTAGCAAAAAAGCTCAAACATGACCCAACTACTCAAGCCCAAGTTTTAACATTTTGATGAAAAAAATGACCCACACAAACACTTTTCTTTCACTTCCCTTACACTTCAATCTCACTTCTCATCTTCTCCAACTCACGGCACTTTTCACTTCACTTCCCTAACACTTCAATCTCACTTTTCTCATCAAGAACCCACGCAATCTCTCACTGGACATTAAATTTAATTGTTTACAAATTGATTCTATCATACAACACACAAAGCAAGCAAAGGAATTCAAACGTATGTCAATTATTTATCCCGTTGTTCTCTTGATCTTTTGTGCTTGCGTTGTTATTCAAATTTTAGTGAGTATGATTGAGGAGTATGGGACTAGGTATTTGGTGTTTTGGATTGTGGATTTGATTGGAACCCTAGTGCTTTAAAATTTTTAGGAAGAACATGATGAATTCCACGTGTTCTATATATTGCCTAGGTGAAAATTCATGTCAATTTTTGGCTCATTTAGCAATTGAAATCGTTGCTACACATTTGGGATCAGTCTTTGCATAGAAATTCAGTGAAGTTGTAATAGAAAACACCTAAAACCTAGTTATCTCACCATACTTTTCTTTCTTTTTCATATTGGAAACGAAATAAAAAATGTATAAACTCCAATATGTGAGATATCTTCACATGAATAAGGTGTCAATTTGCAGTTTACTAAAGGAATAGATTCCCCTAAATTGCAGTTGAAACCCAAAATCCGTCTTCAAAATCAGTTTATTTAGGGCAAGCTGAAGCCCAAAATCCGTCTTCAATAGACTCTTCGTCGGAATAAAGCTTGGAGTCGGAATAACGCCCAAGCAAGATTTTAAGCTTCTGTTTTTGAAATTTGAAGCCTGCCCAGATTTATACAAGCTTTCAAAATCTGTATTTTGGTCCCCAAATTCAATTCTTGATTCTTTTAAGTCCTTTTCTCTTGTAATTTCAGTCTTTTAACTTCTAAATACGTCCAATTGTACCCTGATATCTTTAATCTTCGTTTTGTGGTCCTAATCAACTATGAAATATTTTCATTTTAGTCCCCAATATTTTGAATTTCACCATTTTTCATTAATTTTTTGCTTCTTTCTTTCAATTCCTCTTCTATTTATCGAGCCTCACCTAACAAACAAAATATACAATGAATTAGGCCATAATTAATCAAAAGAACTTCAAAACATCCATACTTAAAGGTCCGAATTAGTATATAAAATACACTTATCAAATATCATTGATTCATCGAATCATCTTGTGACAGTGATTATTAACTAAATAATTAAGACTTTGATAGGACATTCTATCCAACTCATAATGTCCCAACTAAAACTGTCCTACAGCTGATTATATACAATGGTGAGTTATCCAAATTTAGTCTCTCTTTTCTTGTCTTTTATGTTTATTTGGGCTGAATTTAGTTGGGTAGAATTGATTGTGGACAATTGGTTTGTGAATTGAACTATACACAATAGAGAAAAATGATCTAAATAATTGATCTCAACAAAATTTATTCACGATAATACTTAGTTTATTATTGTTGACGAAATTTGAAAGTGAAATATGTGCAACTGTTAAGTGAATCAGCATTAATACATGCCTAAATGAATCCGTGTGTGTGTGACCAATGGCAGGGAAAAAACTTCTTGTCTTTAAGTTTAACTTTAATCCGACTTAATTTTTTACATGCACTTTGGACCTATAACGAATAACGAAATATGGGCATTTTTCTACAATTGCCAGAGAAGTTGGGATATGTGGCAAATATGAGATTCTTTTTATTTCAAGAGAGAAAAAAAAAATGTTTTTAATTGTATACAAAAGTTACTTATAAACACAACCAAACATCTATTAATTCAAATTTTATTAAGTAAGTTTGACGTACAAGTTAAATATGTCATAAATGATGAATCGAAAGTGAATTTTTCCATAATTTCTTATAAGAGGTGTTGTGAATCGCATTGGACAATGACAATAGCCAAAAAATATAATTTAACAATTACACCTTGACATTGATTGGTACATATGAAAATAAAATCCCACATATTTATTCTAGACGCAACTACCACCTAACTAAAGCCTCAACCCATAATTTTTATTTGGAGGAAGAAATTCGAAAAATTCATTTGGAGTAATTTTATCCTCCTTTGTAGTAACATCAAGGGTTTTCTGGTCATTGCCCCAAATTGGAAATAGCTCAAGGGCTAGATTTTCTTTAGCTTCATTTTCAAGAATATTGATTAAATCATCATTCTTGGAAGGCAACAATGACATGTTGAGCTTTAGGGAACCAAAGGGCTCTGAGTTTTCCTTTGTAGTAAATATTTTGTTGGGAGGCATGAAAGAATACAAGTCCAGTGGCCAGGTTTCTAGATTCTCTGCTGTTGTCTGGTGCAATTCTCTCGGATGCATTGATACAGAATCCTGAAAGTAACAATAAATGAAAAGGAGGGTGAATTTCACACTATGCCCAAGAAATTGTGACTTTTTACATGTGACAGCAGCCCCTACACAACGTATAGAATGCAGCTTTTGAGCCAAATTCTTTTCTTTTTTTTTTTTTTTTTTTTTGACGTAGGAATACGCAGTCGCTACCCGCAGACGGAGCTCCGGCACCTCGAAGAGGCGGAAGCCCGACCACTATGAGTGCGCACCAGGTAAACCTATATCCATGTGCAATAGCTTGCAAACCACACAAAAAAAGTAAATTGCACTAGGTAAGTCAGGTACGATGGGCTCGACCAAGGAAATGTTGGTAGGGGATTCGAACTAGATCACCTGTTCCATCAACTCAATCACCCCCGAAGGGGGACCCAAATTCTTTTTCCATCATACAACAACTGTCTCTCTTTGGGTACACTGTTTTGAACTCGATATCTTGTAATTAGCTCATAATATCGTTTCTTATTACAATCACGCTACAAGTACATTAACTTTGACATTGTACCACGTGGCGACATCACATTGGGCAGATTTTAAAAGCAACACACTTTCCCATCAAACACAATTTAAATTTACACATAATGTCAAACTTGATGTCAAGAAAATAATGTACAAGATGCTTTATTCTTCCTATTATATCTTGTAAGAGCATTTAGTTAACAAAGTCAACAAGTGAAATTAAAACACATATAGACCTGTGAAAGTGTGCTGCAGTATGAGGGGGTAGCCAACTTCATAGCATGTTCAATTTCCAAGTCTCTTCTGCTGAATCCTACAAATCAAGATCATAATTTTAGTTCACATATGATATTTCTCTCTTTTCTTTTCTTTTTCTTTCTCTAGCAGTGCAAAACACAAGAACATTAATCTTGAAATAAAAAAATAAGGAACTGTCAAACATTACACGAATTTCAGCTTTCTACGATATCCAATAGATGGCGTATGTTTAAAAATTCGCTTTACAATGATCGACATGCTTTTATGTAATTTTAGATTCCATTCACTAAATATATATATATTTCATTATATCACATCATATTTGAATCAGAGTAACGCAATTTATATACCTGTTTGTTTTGCTTCAAGGGTCTCAACACCGTATATCTTTGCTCTAGATGATGATTCTAGATGACGGCGTTTTTTCTGCCTCTCTCTTGCCTTGTGGTTTTGAAACCAATAGAACACATTCTTCTCTTCAATCTTACCAAATCGACGAAGTTTTGTAGCAATTTGCTGGATTTGTTCGGCCGATGGTGTTCTTATGCCCCGTCCATAAATATCTTCAAGGGCCTGTAATTGCTGAGATGTCGGATTCCATCTTGACCTAATTACTGCAGGCTCTGTGCTTGTGTCTTTCTTCACTGGGATATCGGTCACTGCGGCCACAAGTTAGATATATATACATAAAGCTCGTCAAAATTATCCATTCATAAAGAAATACAAAAGCAGCATAAGCAAGAACAATATCTTAGTAGAAAAATATGATCATACTCGAATGACTGTTCCTTCCAAAGATATTAGGATTGTGAATGCATCCCGAACAAGGGATTGGTGACGATGGAGTACTAATCGACATCGGTATGAGAGGCCGAGGCTTCGAATTATAAGAGGGATCAGATATCTTCAACTCTTTCCTATTATCATTACACTCTAACATCCACATTCTACACTATCAATATTCACGCCCTCTATCTGAGTGCGTGCGTGTGTTCTAACTGTTTGGCTGGTAACTGCTAATGGTTAACCGAGTCCAGATTAACCTTTATTCCCAATAAATCCACTCCTCTACATAAATACTCTTTCAAGTGAAGAATATCAATACAGTAAGTTTAATGCATGCACAGTAAGGCTATTTGCATTTACTAAATGCCCTGTGTGTGTTTGAACTATCAAGTGGCTAGTAACTATACTGAAGTGAATTGTCCATGCCCAAGGAACAGTAGAAATTCTGAATTGAAGCGACAAAGACTTAACGTGGTAGAAAAATGAGAGGATGAATAAGCAGCATGTTTAGTAGGTTGACCACACTATATATTCTCTCGTCTCACACGTAGACACCCAGAGAGAGAGAGAGAGAGAGAGAGAGAGAGAGAGGGAAAGAATAAGACAAAGGCAAAGTTATAAAGGTGGAGGAATTGTCCCTCGGGCATAGCTCAGTGGTTTAAAGGACAAGAATGATGTAGTTACAGTTGAGCTGATAGCTACAGTGTGAGCATTTAATTTTTGACTCTTACAATGTATGAAATTTGACTCTTTGTGGGCACCAGTATAGCAATTCTTGTACTCTGTGTAGAAATTCATGGGTCTAACCCATCTCACAAAACCGGTTCCGCAAGAGAGGTTTGCCACATTATTTATATGCTGGTCCAAGATATTGTTCACAGGCGATGTGGGATTTACACCCTCTCTCACGTGTAGGCCAGTAATTTTTTTCTGGTCCTTGCCACTGGGTAAGTAGTGTGAGCCCACATCAATTCTATGGTAGGCTCTGATACCATGTAGAAATTTATGGGCCTAACTCATCTCAGAACTTCTGATACTATGTTAAGATTGGGGGTCCATCTTAAAAGGTCAACCTTATTAAGAGGAGTAGCTCAAGATCTTTATTAATTGGTCTGTGTCAACATCATTTATCGATGTGGGATATATATCCCTTAACACTCTGATCTGTTGAGACACATTCTACGATTTACCTCATTCACAATATTCTAGGAGCGGGGCAATAAGGGTCCTCAAAGTTGGGGTTGAACCTTTATAATGGTGAAGGAATTGAAATGAAGAAGAAGGTGTGAAATTCTGGGAGATTTTGGGAGAAGGAAAACTAAAAGCGACGTGACAATGATGAGATTATAAGAAGAGTGTCGTCAGATTTCAATGTCTTGTCTCTCTTGAGCATTAACATTGTTTGCCCCCCTTCTTTTCATTTAGCAGTCGGCCTACGGCCTACCTCTGTCCTGTCTTCCACACTGCTTCTCATTCCTTGCTCTCTCTCTCTCTCTCACAAATAATCTTTGAACTCTTCCATCATTAACATTTTTAAACTCGCTAATTGAAGACTTGCTACTTGAAGGAATTGTGTAAATTTATTAGTTCCTTAAATTTTGGAAAATCTATAGCTTCCTCGTAATCTTCATGCATCCATTTAGGATACCTTCTAGGGCAATTTAGATTTCATGTCAAAATTGATTGTAGACTTGAAATGTGACCAAATTTGGAATACTTTGCAAAAGTATTCATTTTTATGTTAAAATACGAAAAATACCAAATTCTGTGTATGATTAAAAATAATACAAATAGTTAGTGCACAAATCTCGAGGCCAAACCAATAGCTTTCAAGAGAAACTTTGTAAGTTATACATCATATTATTAATCAATGGATAGTAGCAAAAAATCAAGATGTAAACTATTGACTTTAAAAATCGAAATAGAAATCTCCAAACTGCCTTGGGACAACCAAACTTTGGATTATTTGCATGTGAAATGTGAACTCAAACATAGAATTTTAGTGAAAATTTGAGTTATAGGCGAAATGTAAAATTGTGTTGAAAATCTCGAATTTTTCAAAAACTTCGAGTTGCATGGATATTTTGTACTGGCAACTTCTCTAGATGAGCATTTATAATTCGAAATTTCGAGAATCTTGAATTAATGTTGTGAAATCTCGAATTTTTATAGAAACTTTAAACGGTAGAATCTCAAATTTCACATCAGATTAAGCATATTTGAATTGGGAAGTTTGATTCAACTAGACATTTAAAATTTGAAATTTTGAGAATCTTGTATTTCATAGAATTTTTAGCATGTAGAATCTCAAATTTTATAGCGGATTGTGCATATTTCAATAGTATATATATTGCTTTCATAGGTTAAACCTCGAATTTGAAAATGGTTGATGCAAAAAGAAGGAATTATTGTGCAACTTTTGTTTAGGAATGGACAATTTTTTCTAGAACCTTTGGAATCGGACTAGAATTGAATAGAACCAGTTGGATCCGCTTTGATTCCTTTACTTAATGGGCCAGTTTTAGGACCATGCATCGAGAATTGGTTGGTTTTAGTTCAATATTGCCTTAATAATCAATATTGAATTCGATACTCCTTAATTTTTCTTTTTGCTGGTGTATTTCACCAAAATGCATAGGATATTTTAATATAATCCCAACAAGAAAATTTATATTTTTAGTTTAATATTTCATAAAAACTCAAAATTTTCGTTGTTTTCAAAAAGATCGATCATGTGAATCGAGATCTTCTATTTGTTGCCTTATTTAATTAATTTTCATATTGTTAGATTACAAGATTAATAAGTGGCTTCATATTTTATTTTTATCTATTTTTAATTTGACAAATAGTTTCATATTTTATTTTTTTCTGAATTCCCAACTTAATGAATTGATCGGACTAGACTAGACCGAACAAGAACTGGTTGGTTTGATTCTAATTCGGTTCGATTCTATAATTGGATATGGAACCAATAATTCTATTTTAAAGATTATTATTGGTACTCGATTCCATTCCATTCCAGTCGAAATCGGACCGAACCAGATCGCACCAACTCCTATTTTTGTTTCACAAATCTTCATCGAGCATATAATATACCATATATCTAGTTTAGGATTCAATGAAAAATGGAGTGCAATTCACAATTGTAGATCAAAAGTTATGCGCATTTGAATTTAAACAGTCGAGCAAACTCGACATTTGCACTTTAAAACTCGACTTTCGCATTGTAAACCTGAGATTTCCATAATATATTCGAGATTTGACCAGTAAAAACTCATTATTTTGCCATCTAACTAGAAATTATGTATAAATCTCCGTGTGAATTTTTTTTCACCCCTTTAGATATTCTACGTTTCAAATTCAAAATTCAACAACATTATTGAACCACTGATTCTAATCTTGACATGTTAACATCATATAATTTTGACATCGATTGTCCAAAAAATTCATAATTGCATGAAAAACGGATATTCAAAATCACCAAAAATAATCAGACAATGGCAAGAAACATAATGAAAAACCAACATATACTCCTCCACATTTATGGATTAATTAGTACCCAACATTTTTCCAGTGATCAATTAACAAACACTACAACAAAAATGATCTTTTGTAATACATAAATGGCAACATTCGGTAGTTGAGTGTTGCTAAAGGTGTCTATCGTAACATTCTAATAAGTGAATGTTGTTATTGGTTAACATAATTGAGATTTGGCAACATTTTTTAAATGGACGTTGCTAATGTCGTCTTTTGTGACGTTTATAGAGTGTTGTCAAAAGTTTTATCTATTACAACGTTTAGTGAGTGTTGCTAAAAAGTCATTCTATAGCAACGTTTACTGACCGTTGTTGTTACTTAGATATATAATCTTCTGCAACCTTTTTTTAATGTCGCGAAAGGATTATTTTTGTCCATTTTTTTAGAAAAATGACAATAAATTTAAGGGTAATTATATTCACACCACATTTTAATTACATTATTAAAGGTCATTAGCTTTTACTCATTATCACACTTATATATTTTTTCATCACATTCTTATTTTTAACATTTCATTTATCAGAAAGTCTTGTCCTTAATCATGATTTTTTTCCAAAAATATTGTTAACGTGCTTTAAAACAAGGTCAAATATTTAATCGCATTTTTTTGATTTATTATTTGTTTTGCTTAGTTAAAAATGCAATTGGCAAATGAGTAATTTTACTCTTTCTTAAATAAAATTTTGGAGAGAACATAATGAGGATAAATTTATGTTAATTTGAGAAAGCAAATGCGATGATAAAAGTAAACATAAGTATGTTAATGCGTAAATGTTTTGAACTTTTTATTTAATTAAAATGTATTACAGTTATTAAAAATTGTCGTGTGAAAATATTTAGCCTAAATTTCAACCTTTCAATTTTTTGCCCATTTTTAAAATGAAATGTTAAAAAATTGGACATTTCCCACGATTTCCTCTTCCATTTATATTTCATTAGTCCTTGATAAAAATATAGTAACCACACTATAATTAGGGTCCGTTTGATTGCAAAGTTGGAAAATGGGTAGAAAGAAAATGTTTTACAGGGAATTGATTTTCCTAGAAAATGTTTTACTGGGAATTGTAATTAATTGTGTTTGATTGGTAAAATTTTCTATGGAAAATGTAGAAAGTTTTGTGTCCATTTGATTTCATTTTTTATGGAATTTATCCATTAAAGTGATAATTTTTTCTACCATTGGGTCTAAAATTTGTTCCAATTGTAA